CTGCACCTGCCTCACGCAGGGCGCGAAGGCGCTGTTCCAGGGCGAATGTGCCTGTTCACGGGTCTCTCTCCAGCCTTGCTTTCACTAACTTCACCTTTGCTACTCGCAGACCCTAGAGAAACAGTATTTCCGCTGCATCAGGGGAGACCTGAAGCTGCGGAGGCCCGGAGAACCCCTGCCCGGTGGCCAGGAAGAGGAGCAGTCCTGGCACAAAAGCCTGCTTGCGATTTCAGCCAGCTAAGGGCCGAGGCTGATTCCACCAAAGTCTGTTACAGCTTGCCCAAAGTCAACGGAGCAGCTTGGGTTTTACAGGGCGCGGGAGGTATTGCTCCCGCGTCCCACCTGAGACATCACTGCGACCGGTGACGCTCACAGACCCCTCTTTCTCCTGCAGGACAGTGTTTCTGTCCGGATCTGACCCCTGTTTCTGGCCTTGGCTGGAAGAAGGATCATCGCAGACAACCTGCGCTGCCCACTCGCCTTCCTGCAGGCCTCTGGAGGGTGTCCCTGCACAACCCCCTGCCAGAATTTAAAAGCGTAGAACTCCTGTTCTTCTGCGTGAGGGCTCAAAGCAACCATTAAGGAAACCATTGTGTCTGTGCAATGAAGGAAACCGCTCCTCAACAGTTGGAATCTTCCTCAGCCATATCACTCAGCAAAAAAGAAACACCATGTAGTTCTTAAAAAACATACTCATTACCTTTAAAAAGTGAACAAAGTGTTGTTTTTTTTAAAAAAGTTACCTTAAGTAGGTACCAAGAACTCAAGAATTTTCAGTCTTACTGCAAATTAGCAAAGTAAGTCAGTCTAATGTCTATTTATCTTCAAAGACTTCCTTTGAAATAACTACAGCTGCTAACTAAGTCTCCACTAAGAACCTGAGGACGAAACCAGCCTTACATGAGACTGAACTGCAACCTGAGAGAAAGGTAGGAATTTGTGAAGATGGAAAAACGAATACTGCTTCAGTATTCTATAGTTTTCCTAGTCACAAAAAAAGTACAATCACTTCATATGTTTGTAATTTGAGATTTTTAAGCCAAGGATGATAATCTCTTCAATTTTATGGAAACTTTACTAAAATAAAATTATTTTAAAGAACAAATTTCACTATAAGAAATTGGTTTAAGTTACATAATCCATCAGTGTTTTAAAATGGAACATGACTACATGAATCTCCGTGCTGATGGTATTTCAAATGTTCAGTATCGGTAACAAAAATTTGTTGGAGAAACTTTATCTTTATTTTTTCTTTTCGGTATCACCTGCCAAAAATCTTTCTATAAGCCAATTAAAACAGGAAAGGATTTTAAAAAGATAATTAATTGGAAGGCAAACACAGCACAAAGCTGAAACAAAAGATTATGGATTCAAAAACCAAAGTGAGGTGGCTGTTTCAGGCTGCAGGTCTTAGAGAAGTGGCCTGTCTTCCAAAATAATGGCCCAGGAGAACGGCTGTCTGCAACTGCCCGGGTGCGTCACAGCTGCGAAAATCCGGTCATGTGTCTGGTCCCAAGCTCCTTATTTGCTTTTCACTTGTGGCCATTTTACCCAGGCAGAGGAGTGTGGAAGCACAGAAGTTATTGCACGCACGTAGAAACCTGCCAGAGCACAACAGCTTTCCAAGCTGAAGAACTAAACATGAATTTACCTAGATTCAGCACAATTAAATTGGCCTAAATCTGACATATCTTCTAAAAAACTGAGAGGAACTGTATTTAAAAAAGTACTGCTTTTCTGCATGTGGATTTTTTTCCCAGTTCAAAAGAAACTTTGTACCTGAAGTCCTAAAAAAATATGCAGTCCAGACCACCATCTCTTATTAAATGGTTAGTTCCATGTATTTTTGGTGTATTTTTAGCCTTGTCCCCAGGTTGTCCATGTGCTGTCCTTCTGCCAGGCAATACCATGAAACTTTCTCCACCTAGTAGTAGCTCCTGAGCCTATAGCTTAATTTCAGCCAATTTTGACAGAAGAAAGATGTCAAGATACTGAAGTTCCAACCAGCTTCACGAAGGTCAGCAGCTCCGGGGTGGTGAGACCCTGTGAACATCCTGCCTCCCTCCACCCCTGGCCCCAGGCAGATGTTTGGGGATGAACGAGCTCAGCACACCAGAGCTGCAGCGCTGACACACCTGCACAGGGCACCAGCCTTCTTGCAGCACTATTTGTGTAAAGCCAGGCCATGTAGTTTAACTGGAAATTTTGAACTTGGACAGTACATTTGTGTCATATTAGAAAAGTTAGCTTATTATTGAGCAATTGTGTTCAATGGGTGGGAGAATTACTACATTGTAAGTAACAGATGCATGCCATTTCCAGCCAAGATGTAGCTTAATTTACCAGTTTTTGTTTCTGTATGGAAGGCGCTTGTATTTCACAATTGATAAAAAATTCTTTAGCTGTAATTCCTCTGTAGATTTTCTTTTACGGTATGCTGTTCTTTCTGAAATGCCCTCCCAACTAGAGGTTAATCTACTGCTTGTAACAAATATAGAACTTTTAATGTCTTAGTAACACTTTATACTTATTACTTTAGCCGTTGTCTTGTAAGTGTATAATCGAACCTTGTTAATAAATTACCAAATATTGCAAAAGCTTAAATACCTTTGACCAGACTTGCAACCAGTCTGGCAAAAATCCTACTGTTCTGTGAAGTTGTATTGGATTCTTCTGAATCTTTTGCTATAAAAATAAACAAAATTATATCTTACCTCAAAGGGAAGTGAAGTATTCACCGTCAGACTTGTCAATATTCTCTGCTGCTCTTGCCCAGAACAACTGTCCAGTGCCCTTCATGAAAAATTAGTAAATTGAAGGTTAAAAGGAGATGGGTAGTAGCATGCTGATATTTTCTGTTTTCTTCAAATAAAGATATACTGCTTAGCACAGTTCCCAGAGGAGATAAGTTACTGTAACTGCGTTGTCTTTATGTCTGTATGTGTACAAGTGTAACTGTACCTCTGCATCGTCTCCAGTATTTTTGAATCTTTGGCCAATCTCAGTCAAATTCAACAGAGAAATTCTGACAAGTTTCTCTGAATTAGTTGATCTTTTAAAGAATAAAGCCCTGATGTAGTGCCCCCACCACGGGGAAGATTGCTCACCCCTTGTTGCACAACTGAGAATCCACACAGGAGAAAAGCATTTTGCAAGGACAGGAAAAGCTAAAGCAGAGCTTACATTTTATTAGATGTGAGGGAAATGAACTACAAGATATAACCTGGTAGGGAACCTGGCTTCATTAGTCCAACTGCACACACAACCATCTGTTTATTGATTTGTTGTGTTGGTAGGATCCAGTGCTGCAACTTCGGCTAAATACAAATGGTCACTGATGCCATGGCATTAAAAAAAAAAAAAAAAGATATCTACGCTGTTCCTGCTTCTTTGTTTCTGTCTCACCAGGAAGCTCAAGGACTTTATCAAAGTATATTATGCAAGCTCTGTTAATTTTTTAGGCCAAGGTACCTTCCAGTTTCCTTGATGTAAGAGATGAGAGTTGGCAGCCAAAAGAGTTTGTGTATGTTGTGTTGCCAACAATAAGAATAAATACTCAAGGCTACATTAGACGTAATTCCACAGTGCTGCCCAATTCCTTCACAAAGAGAAATGGTCCTGGGAGTGCATAGGTGTATTCCAAAGAGGAAAAATATATGAACAGTCATAAAAAAACACAAGAAAAGAGTATCTGTATAAATGTGTGTTTTATATATACACGTATATATTCCTTGGGAGTCAAAACTCAAAAAGAGTCAAAGTCTGTAAATGTATGTGTGTGTGTACACATGCATTCCATACCACCCAATGTATTTTCTTCTCTTTAATAAGTGGGGTTTTTTTCAGCTTCCCTATTATTATGCAATTTCAGAGCTTATTATTTTAAAGAGTTTTACCATTTCCACCTGCAAATGGCAGAGTGCCCCTTCCTGAACTCCACAAATTGGTCCCTCCAGTAAATATCGCCTAATACATGGCCCTAGGATGTCTGCAATGTCACATTAAAAAAGACCTCCATCTGGGTAATGTGGTGTGCTCTTCCATCATTTCTGCCCCTGTTCTGTACCAGCACTTGTGAGCTGATAAAAAATTTCCTTATGATTTTAACCGCTCACCTAGGCCGCTAAGGCTACGCGAACCTGAGCAAGCAGCGGGGGCCGACAGGCGTGCGTCTGTTGGCGCTGAGGCCATGGCATCCACGCTGTGCCCTGGGTGAACTTTCGACTATCCCTTGCCCGACTGCAG